AGCAGAACACAGTAACAGAATGACATAAACCTCTCATTTGAGCGCCAAATTGGACCAGCATTATCCATTATAACCTTTAGGAGCTCCAACGATAACACTTTCCCCCTTAACAAAATGTTGTCATCCGCATGCTCCTGTGATGAAAACTTCATAGACAACTTACATAAATTCTTGAAGAGCATGAAACCGTCCTCTCTAATTTTACTGTAACCACTCAGATCAGCTTCCTCACTCAGTTCCCCATCAGTGGGCTCACCCTTCTTTTTTTCACCCTTGTCATTCTCCAACTGCAAACACAATTTCGATTCAGCAAGGCCTTCCTTGGACTTGGCATCCACAATCTCATTGAGAAAGTTCTGGGCGAACTGTATAGAGCTGCCCTCATTCAAATTCCTATCCGTGAACTCCAAGAGTTCAGCCACAGAGACGGTCTTGAATTCCACCATCATGGAGTTCTCCTCCACCCTGGTGAAAACAATCATCATCATCTGAGCAAGGACGGACTTGGCGCAAATCTGATTGGTGCCATTCATGCCCCCGAGATAGACATTGTAACAGGACCTAACAACGTGGACAAGGCAATCACCTCTGACAAGCACGTAGGGAGATCGAACGACGGAGAGCAAGACCCTGAGAAGGGCAAGCTCGATTGCTTCGTCCCCAAGAGCGCCGCATTTGCAGACGGAATCTATAAGGCGGAAAATGAGGGAGGGAGGACTTGGGTTAGGGCTGGGGGTGTCGATCTCGCATCGGATCAAGCCCAAGGAGAATAACCTGAAGGCGCAATCTAGGGCGGGTTCGACAACTTTGGGAGATGCAGAGTCGAGAGCCATGATGAGGGGTTGCAAGACGAAATCAGCATCGGAAGGAGAGAGGCCATAGAGAGGGGTGCAGGAAGCTGGATCTACAGGGTCGTCAACAACGGAATCAAGCTTGTCGAGAGCGGACTTGCAGGCGGCGACGAGCTGCGAGTGTTTCCTCCAGGCGACGTTCTTGATGATCTTATCAAGGGACGGACCCAGTACCCAGCCACAGCGCGAAGGCCCGCCTAGCATTTGAGAAGCCGACATTTTGACTCACTTCTTCATCGGTATGTGAACTTTGCTATCCAGCAATGGCGACTAATTCTGGTGGGGTTGGGATATATCATAAGAAGGATGGCTTTCCGCGTACGAGGGAGTAATGCTCCTACAACTTCGACGCCTGGAACCAGACACATGCCTTGATCTGAATACACTTCTTTTCCGGTTAACTTACACCCACAACTCAAGTTAAATCCTTAAGTATTCTTGTGGACAAAAAACATACTCAAACGTTTTCAAAATTAACCAATTTAATCCTTCCGTCATTCATTCTTTCAAGACTAACGAATCTATGTATCTTAATGTCAATTAAGTTTTTTACCCTTTGTAGTGCATTCCATGTTGGATAAAATTATGATTACAATTAACTTTTAAAATTTTATTATTTTTTAAAATTATTACAACTAACTATTAGACAATTTGAGATTTAATTCTCAGCTTTATACATCATTTTTATTGAGAGACAAATGTCTTCACAATTTGAAATTTTGCGGTGCCATAATGGTGATTCAAAAGGTTGGAGATGTGAATGGAGGCGGTGAGTGATCATACAAATTTTTATCACATGTATATCGTCCGAGATAAATTTAGAGATGAAATTGTTATTTCGTCAAATAAGTTAGCATCTTTGTTGTAGCACGTTGGAAATAAAGCTTTTTTATTTTTGTCTTTTTTTAGATGTAATAATTTGTAGTGAGTTTAAGTTAGTCACACATCCGTGAGCATATAAATTGAAGTCAAATAGCTCGTTATTAATCTTCTATTTGGTTTTGTTTTTTGTGTGTGCAAAATATAGCATATTATATTAAATGCATGAACATACGTACAAGGAACAGTATACAACAGATGTGCAGTGGTGGTAAAGCTACTACCACTGAGAGAAAGATGGATAGGACTAGGGGAAAGGTCATTATAGAATGGGGGTGCGAGCATAGAGTTCCTAGAGACAAAGCTGATGATGGTTAGTATATTAAAGTCGAGTATAGTGAAATAACGGACAACTACATATCTAATACGAAATGTCCTTGTATGTAACAATCTGGCCAGTTATTTTGAGTAATTTAGCCACGTTTCTCTATTTGTTGCTTCCTCTATATTTAATTATGGTTATGTGACTTGCTGGGGTAGTTGGTTTAGTTTCGGGTGAGTTTCGGAGTGAATTGAGACACTTAGTCCCAAAGTTGAAAGCTTAGGTTGAAAGAGTTGATCGGAGTTTGACTTTTGTGTAGATGACTCCATAATGGAGTTTTGATGGTTTTGATAGCTTCATATGGTGATTTTTGACTTAAGCGTATGTCTGGATGTTGGTTTGGAGGTCTGTATGTCATTGGCTTGAATTGGCGAAAGTTAGAAAGGTTTGGAAGGTTGAGAGGTTTGACCGAGAGTTGACTTTGTTGATACCGTATTTGGATTTCGGTCCCGAGGGTTGGAATAGGTCTGTTGTGTCATTTGGGACTAGTGTGCAAAACTTGAGGTCATTCGGAGTTGATTTGGTATGGTTCGGCATTTGGTTTTAGAAGTTGGGAATTCATTATTTCATTAGGCTCGAATTGATGTATGATTCGTGGTTTTGGCATTATTTGATTTGATTTGAAGGTTAGAATAAGTTTGTATTGTGTTTTAGGGCGGGTTGGTGTGTTTGGAGGGAGTCCAGGGGCCCGAGGATTGTTTCGGATGGTCGTCGGACCATGTTTTGGACTTTAGGAGCTGCTGATATCTGGTGTCTAGTTTTCTCCTTCGTGATCCCGAGGAGAAGGACGCGATCACGTAGAGTGTTCTTGGAGGCAGGCAAAATGTACATCGTGTTTGCGAAGTGGTGACACGTTCGCGAAGCTTTAGATGGTTGTGATCTTCGCGATTGCGGTTGAGCATTCGTGTTCACGTAGTAGTGTGAGTTCAGCTAAGGTGCCAGGCATTAGCCTACGCGATTGCGATGTTGTTTCGGCGTTCGCATAGTTCTGGAGAATGTATGCTTCACATTCGTGACTCTTAGCCTGCGTTCGCGTAAGGAAAATTTTGGTGTGGCTGGAAGTTGTTCTTCGCGACCGCGTAGGATTGTCCGCGATCGCAAAAGGTAAGTCACTCGGTAGAATGTTAAAAATCCACTTCGAGGGTTAGAGTTATTATATCATATTTTGAGGTAGATAGCTCGGCTGGGCGATTTTGGAGGGGATTTTCATGATTTGGATCAGGGTAATTGTTTTTACTCAGATTTGTTCATTTTTCATGATTCCATCTTATTTTTTATCATTTATTTAGTGAATTAAACTAAAAATGGGGAATTTTTGTAAAACTTTCCTAAAGTGAAAATTGGGGATTTGAAGGTTGATTTGAGGTCAGAATTGAAAATTTTTGGTATGGTTAGACTCATTATTGATGGGTGTTCGGATTTTGTAAGTTTAGTTGGGTTCTTAAGTGCGGGTTTCGAGTTGACTTTATAAGTTGACCTTTTGATTTTTTTTAAAGATTGCAACTTTATTACCTGGAATTGCTTCCTATGGTTTGTATTTATGGTATTAAAATATTTTTGCTAGATTCGAGAAGTCCAAAGTTGGATATTCGTGGGAAAAGATTATTAGGTGATTAATTTGACTTGTTTGAGATAAGTATCTTGCCTAACTTAGCGTAGAGGAACTACCCCTTAGGAATTAGGTTGATTTGTGTTGTTTGAGTTATGTGATAGACGTGTACACGAGGTGCCGAGTGTGTACACGGGCTTATGTGTGGTACTTTGACCGGACTAGACTCTTAGACTATTTCATGCATTAAATTAAAAATTGTAATATCATGTTATATCTGTCATTTTTAAATTGCTCTTACATGATTTACATATTGTTATTACATGCTCTATTCTTTATTGTCAAACATGCTCTTATATGCTTTAATTGCTTTTGTTATCTCTCTTATTGTCTTGTTACCTCTTTTATTGTCGAGTTATTCTTATTTGGAGTTTGTTATTTCATGTTGTCCTTCCGTGTTGAGTTATTCCATGTACTTAGATATAGATACTAGTTCATACCATCTCTTTTATTTTATTGTTAAGCATATATTGTACTTTTAAAGTGAAAATTGTCATTCCGCGGAAAGCCTCCATTTTGAGTTGTTGAAGTTGAAGTTATGAAAGCTAATATCACATTGACGTTGAAATTGTTTATTTTCGAGATATCTTTCCTTGTTAAGTAATTCCCATTCATATTGTTATTATTGAGTGTTGGCCCAAGTAAAGGTTAAGTTTTGAAGATTGACAAAGGAACTCAGACATGAACCAGGTCCATCCCAGTAGTCCATCCCTCGGGTTCATAAAAACGGGCAGATTCGAGCATGTGGGATGCACGTGATAGAGATAAGCTTAATTTGGTGTATTTAATATCTCTTGATCGAAAAGGTTGCATTATTAATAAGGAGAAGGACTCCTTCATCAATGAGAACACTATCCAAGATAGGGAAGGGGTTAGAAGTTGAAATCAACTAGAACTCTTCCATCAAGGAAGAGTTGCATCAGAACTCTAGTTATTTCTTCATTTACTAACTCTATAAATTGCAGGATGTTCTCTCATTACAGGTGTTGCACAAAAACGCAGAAGTTAAACGTGAATTGCGAGCAAAATAACAAGTTTTTTTGCAAGCAGTTCGTGTGTGATTCAAGTGTGCAAACCTGAAACTACATGAACCAGATTGAAGAACAAGCTCCATAAAAGTTTTATGTGTCTTTCTTTATTTGTAGTTCAATTGTAGTAGGTGTTTTCATACTGTACTTTTCAGATTTATCCAGAAGCAATTGTAATATGTACTTTGAGTATTCAAGTTAGAGTTAACTTGAAGTTGTCGCAATAGTTAGAGACGGGTTGCTACGACGGGATTAGAGGTAATCCTTAGGTTTACAAAGAGTTTTGTAAATGATGTTTTGGCTCAATGATTTAGTGAAGTGTTGGAGAAAATCCTACTGAGTAGTAGGTCGTGGTTTTTTCACCTTTTGAGCCGGGTGTTTTTCATGTAAAAATACTTTTGTTCTTTAGTTTCTACATTTATTATTCCACAATAGTAGCATAAGGAACGCATAGAAGAACCAGGTCCTTCTACAATCAGTTTAAGAGAAAAATTGGTCATCACACAAATCACCCTCCCTCTTATGTGGTACTGAAGTCTAAAACATCAATTAGTATCAAAGCAGGTTATCCTTGAAGAGGCTAACACCTTAGGAACAGATCAAGATGAGCGCACCACTTGGAAACTGGGAAGGGCAATCCACTACTAGGCCTCTACTCTTTCTTGGTGGAAGAACAGGATGAGAGATCATATCATAGGAGAAGACTATGAACTCTGGGACATAGTCACTGATGGTCCCCTGGCAATTATAAAGAAGAATGTTGAAGGAGTGGATGTGCCAAAGACAAGAGCTAACTGCACTGCTGAAGACTTAAAGAAATGAGAGAAGAATGCCAAGGCCAAGAAATGGCTTGTGTATGGACTGGGTTCGATGAGTACAGTTGGCTTCAAAGTTGTACCACTATCGACGCCCCCTTTTTCTATGGGTCAAAATCGGGTATACGACATTGGGAGGACAACTCTATTCCCTTTCGAAAATTGGGTTTAGAAGTTGAAGAATCGCCACCTAATGATTATAGTGCATTAGGGCACTTTTTAGAAGAGTTTGAGATGAAGAGACTAGAGATTAGGGTAAGGGCTAGAAATTATCCCGAGGGGAAGGTGTTAGGCACCCCTCAGGATCCACAAGTGTGGTTCCCGGCCATGCTATAATTGTGACTTTAAGAAGACAAGTAGAAAAATAAAGCAAAGGGCTTCACATAATTTTGCAAACAAGTTTAAGAGTTGAAGAAGTAGAGAGTTTAGAAAATTAGTTTTAAAAGAAAACTTAAAAATTAACAAGTAAAGGGGAAAGGGGTCCTAGGTTTACCGATAATATGGATCACATCAATGCAATATCCAGCAATCACTCCTCATAAAAGGGGTCACACGTGATATTAGCGCACCGGTCATCATATCCATATTCTACCCTTCCCACCCCGTTAAGGTATTAAAGCGCGGTAAGTTTCGTTACTTATTGCATGTTAGTACCCGTCCCAATCCTTAGTCCCAGATGCATTTAGGACTACTAATCCTAAAGGGAAAGGGGTTTGGGGGCCTTTTGAGAGTTTCAA